ATCATGCATTATCCATTGCAAATTGGCCTTAAAATCTCCTCACATGACATATTGAAGTGTTATGAACCATTACAAACTTCTTCCTTGCCTTGTGTTAGGATTCCCAAAGGTGACTTCAAATGCAAGTAACAAAATAACAAAGCATCACCCATTTTAAAGCTTCAAATCAAAATTCTATCTAAACCAATGTCCTCAAAATGATCTTTCCAATCAAAATGATATATTGGATGACCCATTTTGGATTTCTAGATCCTCCAAACCAATTTCCAATTTCAACTTTTTAAACTTATAAGCCATTTTTAGTTCATTTTTGACCAATCATGCAAATCCATTCTATGAGCCTTTCCAACAATTCATGACCTTCTTTCTAGACTTAAAATCACATTTTGGACAACTTTCATGTTTTGAGTTTTTCCATTTGAGGCTTGGAAATAGGAGATATGGCATTTGCTTAAAAATGACCTATAACTGACAAATGACCAAAATACCCCTGTCTTGTTCAAACCATAAGTTGAGTTCCACAAATCCTATCAAGGACTTCTACCACTAAAATTAAATCTAAGAAGATGCCCTTCAACATTCATGTTGACCAAGAAATCATAGGAACCATCCTACTAGGGAAAATGTTGTCTGCAAGTTGGGTAACTTTCAAGGACCCAGATTCACACACCTCAGCTGACCTGTAATTTGTCCAAACCATAACTTGAGCTCTGTAACTCCTATCAAGGACTTCCACCACTCAAATTAAAGCTATGAACAAGCTCTACAACATTCATGTTGTTGGGAAGATGAGATATCAATCACATCTAGAGCTAAAACTGCCTGGAAACTAGGGATCAAATTAGGGTTTTTGCACTGACAATCCTCAGAAACCCTAACTCAAAACTTCCCAAACTCTTCAATCATGATGAGTTGGTCCAGGAATCATCCTTATAACATCTCTATACATCATTCCATGATCTTATGGCCTTTGGATTAGGTCTCAACCTTCTCCAAATCTTCAGTTATCCTAGGGTTGACCCAGTCAAAACCCTAATTCTACCATTCAGGGTTGAATCTCCTGAATTCTTGCATAATGACCTCTCTGGGCTTCATGATGGCTATCAAGACATCTCCTAGGCTTTCTCAAAACAACAAGTTCATTCTCAAAGTCTCAGAATCATCTGAGGAGCACCTACAACTCTCAAGCTATGAAGCACACAACCCTGGTTCCAACCAATTCCTCTGAAGATCTTTTGAACTCTCTGATGAAGGTATCAACTTTCAAACACTAAATGGATAAATCATTGTTGGTCAAATTTTGGGGTGCAACAGATGGTACTTGAGGGAAAGAGAGGAAAATATAGACAACCAAAGACACGCAGATGAGAGAAGGATGGGTTCTTGTTGTATAACATGTGGAGAGGTGACCAAAACTTAATTGGTTTACTGGGCAAAATGTTGGAAATATATGTGGCCATTTCTAGAGCATAATGCCAAAATGAAGGTGGTAGGGATGCATGAATTAATAAAGTTCGAATAATGTTATTAATGGACCGTATTTTTAGCTCGGCTTTACCGTTTTGAGAGGAAGTGGAAGGACAAGAGAGACGAAATGATATTCCATTAAGTTCACACATTTGTCGAAAATTCTTAGAAATGTATTCGCCACCATTATCACATTGAATAGTTTTGATTTCCCGTTGAAATTGAGTTTTGATATAAGCTCTTAATTTTTGAAAGATGTGATAAACTTGAGATTTATGAGACATTGGGAATGTCCACAAAAAATTCGAATAGTTATCCAGAAATAAAACATAATATTTGTGACCTATTGAGCTTAACACGGGAGATGTCCAAACATCACTATGTAGAATGTCAAATGGCAACGAACTATTATTAAGAGAATTTTTGAAAGGCAATTTGATATATTTACCGAGAGGGCATGAATTACAAAAATGAGAATGTAATTTACTAGGTGTATTACATTCAACCAACTTATTTTTGCTAAGAAAAGACAAAACATGTTCGTCCGGGTGTCCCAGACGATTATGCCAGACAGATGACGACAAAGCTGCAAAAGTGGATGGATGATTAGCTGTATTTGTGGTCTTGTGGTTGGTGATGGGATAAAGGTCACCTTGGCTTTCACATCTCATGATAGGCATCCCCGTCTGAAAATCCTTCACAGAAAAGCCAAACGGGACAAATTCAACTGAAACTTTATTATCTGTAGTGAATTTTCGAAAAGACACTAAATTTTTAATTAAATTTGGAGCGTGAAGAACATTGTTTAGTACAAGAGGTGGGTGGAGGTTAGCTAAATGTGTGCTTCCAAGACCATGAATTGGAACAGAATGACCATTTCCTACAATGATGTTATTATCTTTGCTTAATTTAAAATAGGACGAGAGATTACGTTGCGAGGAAGTCATGTGAGAGGTGGCACCGGTGTCCATGTACCATGACGGGTCGAGCTGGGCAAGGTTGAGGGTGCTGAAAGCACGTTCAATATCTGTTGGACTGGTAGTGTTGGCATTAAAAGCAACTTGCTGAGGTTTGGGGCCAAGAATTCCACCTTGTTGGGGTTTAGGACCATTAGTGGGTCTGTTCCAATTGGATGTTGGGTAAGGGAAATGTGGGTAATTCTAAGGTCCCCATTGTTTCCAGGGAGGGTAATTCCATGACTGCCACTGTGGTTGTTGTTGTCCACGGTTTCCTCTTCCAGAATTTCGGCCTCCACGGTATGGTTTCTTTCCTCTTTGACTGCGATTGTTGGATGAATGTGGTTGTGGGTTCGGAGCTGAATCTTGTTGTTTGATTGCAGGTTCGGTCGAAGGACCTTTAGCCAAGAGGGTGGCCGAGATAGAGGATGAGTGTGTTTCGCGGGCTGCGCGCTGCATCATGGTGGTTTCCTCGAGTTCCAGTCTCGATCGGGCGGCTGCAAAGGTGGGTAGAGGGTCGTGTTGCTGGATAAAGGTGACAAAACCAGCATATGAATCTGTGAGTCCAGATATCATCTTGAGAACTAAATGTGTGTTGGTGATTGGAGAGTCCATGTTTGCGAGTTGATCCGAGAGAGTTTTAAGGCGGGTGAAGTAAGCTTTTGTTGATGGAAAATCTTCCAGGTTTGTGTTACTGAATTGATTTTCCAATTGCACGGCGCGGGAGTGTTTGTTGTCATGAAACATAGCGGTTATGCGCTTCCAACACTCTTCTGCAGTGTCATCTAAGACTAGGATGGATTGTAGAATATCCTGCAATATTGTTGCATACATCCATTGCAACACTATTGCATCAAGGCGATTCCAAAGTTCAGAATCGGCAGCGTTAAGTTCGGCTGATGCTTGTATGGTCTGGACTTCCGAAGGCGGAATAATGTGATCAAGAACGTTGTGAACACGTGCCTGCACTTTGAATAGGGAAGACCAGGAGAGGTAGAGATTAGAATCATTTTCCAACGTCACTGGGATGATGGTTTTGACGTTGTTGATGGTGAAAGCGGAGTGGAATTTGGATGCTGCCGCCTGAGAGGGGTTGGATTTTGAGGGTGATGAAGTTTCATCAGATGTTCGAGAGTGGGAGCTTTCTTCTGCCATGGTAGAACAGAAGGTGTGCGGCGGCTGGAAAATTTTGTAGAGTTAGGAACGTGATAAATCTGATACCATGTAAGAATTGAATTCCCTGCTTCTCATTGATATTCTTTGTCCTAATATACAAGTGTGAATATCTCTATATTTGGAAGCTAATAATATACAGTTATTATTATACTAATTAGAATATATCCTAATAACATACAATTATGATTATACTAATTATATATATATATATATATATATATATATATATATATATATATATATATATATATATATATATATATATATATATATATATATATATATATATATATATATATATATATATATTCTAATAACTATTACCACCATGTTTTTGGTTACATTCTTACCCTTCATCTTCTTGCTTACATTCTAGTCCCTGATAATCATCTTGGTTACAAATAAGTCCCTCAGCTACTAAATCAGTTTTAATACTTACCAGATAAGGCGTGTCATCCAATATATCATCTTCTTGGTCACATACAATATGATCAACGGTCCCATCTAAAGTAATATCCACTATTGCATCCTCAGACAAATGTCTCCCTCAAAATTAATATCCTGACATGACTCTTTTTGGTTAATATCCTCAGTGGTCCCACCCACATTAACATCCTCAAATGATCCTTCTCGGTCAACTGCAACTGAATCTTCTACACCAGTGGGTCATCCTTCATCAAACTTGTCACCTAGATTATTCAAATTTTCAATGGTCCCTAATTCATCAAAAGTTTCTTTTATACCATTATTCAATTCATCCAACGTGTCATCTTCTAAATTGTCGTCTTCTACATCATTGGAATCTACATTGTTTTCCATAGACAATATTTGCTCTTCCTTAAAGTTAACTTAAAAAGAGTATATTGTAATGTTTTTTGAATTGTGGGACTAAATAGAAAGAATAAATTAAGTTAAAAAACTAAAAGATGAATTAAATCTAAAATTTTAGTGTAATTGAAAGAATTTGGGGGTGTTAGTAAAAAAATTAAGAAAGGTTGAAACAAGTCAATGAAATGAATTAGTAGTATTAATATATAGTTGAATGTAAAAACACATACTATCAAATGTATAGATGATAAATATAAGTTTTTTTGACTGAAATTTGAAAAATAAAAAAGATAGGTTTTTAAAGGGTAATTTGGTAAGGAAATATACGTTAAATTTATTGAATAAAAAGGTTGATGATTCCCTCGCTGTGAGTCTAATCCAAGTCTTTTTCTTGTTCTTGTTTGTGTAAGGAAGGACTGATGATACTCGTTCTTTCTTGTAACTTGTAGTAATAATAAGCATCCCAAAAGAAAACAAAAGAATCATCATCTTTATTATTATTAACCAAGAGAGAATTGGAAGATGAAGGCTTGATTGAAGAAGATTGCGTGTGTTGTGAATCAGAGAGATTGAATGGGCTGTTTTTCGTGTTTCGATTCGAAAGAGGACGAGAAGCTGAATCCTCATCCTGAACAAGAAACACACAATCATGATCATCACAATCACAATCACAATCTCCTCTCTGCCGCCTCTGGTTAGTTCATTTCAATCCAATCCAATCCGATCCGATCATTCTTTCTTTCTTTCTTTCTTCACAAATCAGATCCCGTCTTGATTGCAGGAGGAGCAGAGAAGCTTCGGTCAACTAGTAATGGAGGAGCATCCAAAAGGGAATTTTCTGCTCTTCTCAAAGACGGTCCACCAGGTCAAATTGCTGCTCAAACCTTTACTTTCCGTGAACTTGCCCTTGCAACTAAAAACTTCAGGCCTCAGTCCTTTTTAGGGGAAGGTGGTTTCGGAAGGGTTTACAAGGGACGCCTCGAATCCACTTCTTAGGTATTTATCTATCAGCATCCTTTTTCTTCTTATCCTATCCTATTCTGCAATTATCTTATCCTATTCTGCAATTATCCTATCCTATTCTCATCTTTCTTCAATTACAGGCTGTCGCTGTTAAACAGTTGGACAAAGATGGTCTCCAGGGTAATTGCGAGTTCCTTGTCGAGGTTCTCATGCTCAGTCTTCTACACCATCCTAACAACAATGCTTAAAAACAAGTAGCAATTAACAGGAAATAAACTACTAATGCAAATGATAAAAGTGCCCCCAGGACTGTCAATGTTGAGGATGTCTGGCTGTCTAGACCACTGACTTTTGGAAATGACCCTTGGAATCTTCAAGCTCATACAAATGAGAGGTTGACATAAACAACCAAACTTCCTTCTGGAAAAGATATGTACCCTTTGTCAATCAACTGTTACACTTTTGCTTGGAAGGCTTTGCAATCTTCGGTTGAATGTCCCATGGATCCTCCATGATATCCATACTGCACATGGGGATTGTACCCTGGAGGGTAAGGTTTTGGAACAGGCTTAAGAGTCTTAGGCTCCACCAATGAGTTTTGAGTCAGATGTGGCAAAATCTAACTATACGACATAGAAACTGGATGAAGAGGAGCAATCCTTCTTTCCAAGTTGTTGCGAGGCCTATTCTGATTCTGGAGCTGATTCGGATAACCTCGGTCATGGGCTTGTTGATTTGCATGAGGAGCGACCCAAGGTTTCTGATGTAGTTCCCTAGGCACGGTTGTCTGTCCATAAGGATGACGTGACACCGGAGGTAATGATTGCTGAGAAGACGAAGAACCACAAGATTTTACCAGTTCATACTGAGAATACTCAACATCTGCCATGACTGCATTGATCACATTTTCTTCTTCTCTTTGGGAATCATTGAGGGATTCAGTTTCACTAGCCTGACTGCTCGAGACATTCTGAATTTTTCCACTCTTTATGCCATTCCCAATGCGTTCTCCTACTATTACCAGGTCAGAGAAGTTTGGTGTAATTCCAAGCATCCTTTCAAAGTATGGGCTCTGCATGGAGTTTATGAACATGTCAACTAACTCTTGGTCTAGAAACGGTGGTTGCACTTTGAAAGCCAATTCTCTCCACCTCTGAATATACCTTCTGAAGGGTTCATTGTTCTCTTGAGACAAGTTTTACAACTGCATGCGATTGGGAGCCATGTCAAGATTATATTCGTACTGCTTCAGAAATTTTTTGGCTAAGTCCATCCATGATCGGATCCGACTACTCTCTAACTGCATGTACCAACTCAAAGATGCCCCAATCAGACTGTCCTGGAAACAATGAATCATAAGCTTATCATTATGCACAAACAAGGTCATTCTTCTGCAAAACATCACCAAATGTTGCCTCGGGCAACTATCTCCTTTGTATTTCTCAAACCTTGGTGCTTTAAAACTCGGAGATAACACTAGGTCGGGTACCAGGCACATGTCTTCTTTGTTGAGACCAAAAGTATCTTGAACTTCCAAGGCTTTGAGTTTTTCATCCAACACCTGAAACCTTTTAGCATACTCAAGAGCCATCGGTTCCTTAGTCTTCATTATCAAAACCTCTCTTTTAGATTTTGACATGGAGAAAGCAACACCACGATGATCTGTAGTATCAGAAGAAGAGGAATGTTCACTTTGGGCAACAAACGGTAGATCTTGGTTTTCAGCAGAGAGCTACACAGGCTGAGCTTCAGTAAGGTTGTTCACTTGTGGAAGATCTTCATCGAGCAGAGAACCATACAGAGGGTTAGTCATCACAGTAAAACCCAGCGAGGTATCAACATTCTGGAGGTTGTTTCCTAACATAGCTACCAACAATTCTTAACTTGACTTTACTTCTTAACACTGCTTGATTCTGCTTCAAACACTTGGACGTCTTCCAACAGTCACCACTTGTTCAGAACGAGCACCGAGAATCAACTGGCTTCAAAAACAAAGGTAGGATGAGAGCTCTGGCCAGCTGAAGCATGATATGAAAAAGATGCAAAGATGTTTATGCAAATGCAATGCAAAATGGTAATGCAACAGACAAGGGATCACAACTTCCACAAATCTCTGAGCAACTGTTGCACTGCTGACTGAATAAGTCCAAAGGTCTGCTCTGAAGGAAATACCAGAATACCGGGTTGGTTGGAGGTCAAGTTTCCTGCAAAACCCATCCCTCTCATAGGCAGAACCTAGTCTCTGACAAGGTACGTCATCCTATGCATGTCGTCAGTATCACGGACTCTCAAGTCGAGAAACGATGATACGTTCCCCATTTCTGGTTTGGCATCATGGTCAAATGAGGAGGCCTCAACTGACTTCCCAATGAACGGTCTCCAGAGTCGTTAATTTTCAGATCCGACATCCCTTCAACTGTCTGAGACGTACAGGACAGGATATCTTCAAAGAAAACCTCGTCTAAACGCGGATTTCATGAGGGTTATTGCATGCCAAACATGCAAGCTCGCACTACTTTCCACACTAATGCTAGATGTGTACTCAAGCCTTGGTATTGGGCTTATCTCTCAATGAAACAACCCCACCCAACAGCACAACAACAGTATAATAATAATAAAGTGCGGAAAATAAAATGCAAATGCAACAATATACAAATACAACATATATACACACAAATAAAAAGCAAACAAGCGCTAGGATTGACTCGCATAGGGAAACAGGGTCCCCAACAGAGTTGCCAGCTGTCGCAATTGCGAAAAAGGTCGGCGAAAACAAACAGAAGAGTTGCCACCGAATGTTATTTATCCCAAACAGAGGGAAAGGAAACGATCGAAGAAAACCTAAGAGAAAGGGAAAATACAAGGTCATCGCAACCAAATATTGGATTCGGGAGTCGGTTATGCAAGGGGAAGGTATGAGCACCCCTCACGTCCGTTGTACTCAACGGGATCCACGCTTGCTGTCTAATCTATGGGTGAAAACTATCTAAAAACTACTGCTAAATAGGGGGGCAAAAAGAACAAACTCGATAGGACATCGTCACCCTATGCCTATGTATTCCCTCGTGCAATGGGAAAGTCAGAGTCAACGTAGTTCGGGAAACTACGAGTGATGGGGGGAAGGTTGCTCGCCAAGACATCGGCATCTTGTGCCTACGTATCCTCATCTGGTATGAGAAATCAGAGCAAACGTAGTTCGGGAAACTACGGGAAAAAGGTCAGTCAAGTGTTTTTTATGAGCAATGTTAAATCTCCATTTTAGCAGTTAGGGACGACGTCTGTTTGCGGTAGAACGGAAAAGCAACATACTCTTTCTAAAAATGAGGTTTGAAATAATCCCAAAGGATGAAAAGGTTTGAGTTTTGTTTGTGAGTTTTAAAAGAAGTGGGTTGAATTAGTTTTAAACTCATATCGCACTAAAGACTATGACACAAGGGTGAGTGCGTCGCATATCGCCCAAAGGGCATACACTAAACACTCTAGACAACGTGAAGAGAGACCTCCCCACTTGTCATTCCTCATGTACTTAAGTCTCGTAGCATACAACACTCTTCATTCTTTATTAAGTGTCTTAGAAGAGTTTGAGATGAGAAGAGAGACGCACGGACACTAATAGGAACTAAGAACTCTAACATTGTCATGCAAAGTGGTCCTAAAGTTGGGATTAAAAGGGACTAACCTACTTTTTATCATGAATGGGTTAAAATCCTAATGTCTATCTTACTCAAAATTCAATCGGAAATTAAACTGGAATAAGAGTCCTAAGGGAACCTGCAAAGGAAAAGCAAAAAAAAAAAAACAAGAAAGCAAGGCAAAAACAGCCGCTACAACAACGCCTCCTGCATAAGACAGCAATAAAATCCAGTGCACAAGCAAAACAATATATAACAACACATGTTTCAGCACAAAAAATGCATCAACAAGAATCATCCATCAAGCAAACAACATTAACGTTTTAAGCGCTCAAAACGAAAATCAAAAATCGCGCGTCGAAGAATTGAAATCGAACATTCAAGAATGATGAAATATCTCAAAAGAAATCCATATAAATGCATCATATCAATCCATGAAGTTTACATGTGGAAAGGATACTCAATAAGAAAACAAATGCAAAAAGAATCGCAAAAAAATGCAAAAAATGCAAAAAAAAATAAGCCAAAAATAGGCAAATCTGCCCCAAGTAACGGGTTACTCTATATAGGGTAACCGGTTACTTGGTACAAAACAGCCCATAAATTTGAATTTTTATAGGGTAACTGGTTACTCTATATAGATAACCGGTTACCACTGAACCAGAAGCAGAAAATCAGTTTTTAAAAGTAATTTTCAGCACCAAACAACCTCTCCAATCAACCATATAATCATGACATCAATCAAGCACGAAATTAACATCAAGAAATAGTGATCAAGCATCATGTAAACACAATCAAGCATTGAAATCACAAATCACAAAGATTCAAATCAACAAAATGGATCAAAAAGCATCAAAAGCCGTAGATCTACATTGTGATTATCCAAATAAGCTCAAAACATAATTAGATCTAGAATTGCCAACCTTCAAAGTGGAGATTTGCTTTGGTGAGTGTTGATTCACTTGAAATTAGCAGATCCAAGCAAGAAACCCATAGATTCTTCAAGATCCAGGAGCTTCCTTGTTATACAAATGAAGATCAAGCAAGATCAAGCAAAAATGATCCACAAAAGCACTTCCAAATTAGCTTACAAATTCAGATCCAAAACCAAATGAAAATTGAATGGTGAATTGAAGATAATGGAGATGAATGATGGATGTTTATCTCTAGAATTCTATGATTCCAATGAAGAATCAAAGAATTCAAGTGAGAGAACTTTAACGGTGGTTTTGGGAGTGAAAAAGTGGAGAGAAAATTTCAAGAGTGAGAGTGAAATCTGAAAATGAAGGGTAATTGTGAAGGTAATTGTGTGAGGTTTAGAGCAAATTAACTTAAATAAGCTCTAGGTTTAGGATCAAAATGTGGTTTGGAATGTGGGTTAGAATTTGGAATGGAAATTCA